GAGAGAGAGAGAGGGGCCTGTAACCAAGCCCACAGAAATATCTTGCAAGGGAACATCTGTTTTTTCCTTGATAACTCCTGTTCAGTAACAAACTTCAGCCACCGGCAGCAATTGTTCTTTTTCCGAGTGACCGAATTTATAAGGTTTGCAAAACTAGCCCTTAATTCTTTCCCTAGGTCACCCTTTGCAAAGAATATGGATTTTAGTTTGATCCATATTCCAACATAAAAGAAAAGAATCGATCGCATTATTGCTTCTTTCAACACTTCTACACGATTGAACTGTCTTCAGGAAGATCAATGGGAAAGAACATAAGATATTGGAGACAGTTCTTCAAACAGTAGGTTAAAATTGAAGATATATAAACAACTGCAGCTGCTATTATCGCCTGTATCTTTACTGTTCACAATCAAAACAAGGGTGGGCAAAAGTACATCTGATTTTGTAATTTTGAACGTCTGTTGAGGAAGCATAAAGAAAAGAGTTCACATAAGACAGGACAAGAGGGGAAAAAAGGACAGAGAAAGTAAGGCACACGATCATGCTCAGAAAGAGTGCTCTTCGGGTTTCAGTTTTAAATCAAAATTCGGTGTTATGGTTCTCATTTCAGTAATTATTTCAAGAACGGGCTTGAATTGCTTCATTTTTTACACAACCGTGGGTATAAAGCCCATAACTATGGCGAGATACCTTAATCTCAGGTATCAGGCAAAAAAGGGTTCACATTAAGTGTTTCATCTTGGAAGAACCCTCTACATTTACTCTGACAAAAAGAATATGATACTCAAATACTTTCAAGGATTACAAAGAGGGGCAGAATCGGAGGCCATCCAAAGCATAAAAAAACACAGAAGAAGAGTAAGGACGGCAAATAAAAGGCACACATCATCATCATCGGCATATATCAACCATAATCATCAGGGTGAATGGAAGGAGTCTGGACAGCGGAGTGGGATGTCTTCAGTGGGAAAGCCGTCCTCATCAGCATGCTTTGGAAGACGCATTGATAATGATTGCGATAAACCTGTCCATGTTACACTGCCACTCTTGAGATCTCACATGAGACTAAACCATTTCAAAACTACCTTTGCTTTTATACTATGTAAAGAATATGATGTACAAAACAAACAAAATAACGGAAACACACACACACATGCAAAGTTACCATCACTCAAGTCCTTTGTTTTGTGGAGCAGAAATGTTCCTGAGAGGATTGTCACAAACCCACACATCTCAGTCACTATTTGGGTTGGACTTTGCCGATCCCAGTCCTATTCAAAAGAGCCAATAAAAGTGACTTAAGATAATTTTGTGGTAGACTTTAATAAATTGAATAGTTACTTTGAGAAGCATGAGCACAAACTCAGAACTGAGAGAAATAATTATGAGAAAGAAATAATAAACTAATAATCATTCTCATCCCCAATAAATAAATATTCAAAGGAATGCAGTTGTTTCAGTTGAGAGGGGTTCGGACCAAGATATTGATGAAATTTCTATTTGGGACAATAAGCACTGCACACTCTCATGGGATCATTTTGGACTTCACTCCCTTGGGTAAAACCCTACCTAGAAGGATTCTTAGGACCCTAACCTAGGAACCAACTTCAAAAGAAAGCCATTAGTTTGGGGAGGGTGCAAGCAATAACCGTGGTGAATGGTGAATGCCATGCTCAGGTTTAGTGAAAAAAGACGTCATCAGTGAGATGTCACATTGAATCTTCAGTATTGTACTATATATCTCACTCCAAAGAACATATTATTTTGAGACAGTAAAGAACATATTCTTTTGAGATAGTAGAATTGGTTCTCTTGACCCTACATATTCATGCCAGTTGATGGGAAAAGCAACAAAGGCAAACGATGATCTAACTCAAACAAATTGAGGTATCACAAGAAAACATATAACTCCAAAAATTTCACCCTGACTAGAAATTCAAAGTTTTGAGCATGAGGACCAAAATATTGCTAACGTTTTCTAAGCAGTATATCCTAGAGAAATACATTAACAACTCCTTAAGTGAATGTTTGTCTATCACGTAAAGTCATAAAACAAAGCAAAAATAACTAAAGAGTTCAATATGTTCATTAAGAAGGTTTCTCGCTTGTGAAAGACTTAACTAAACTCCTATTTACTAAATATATTAGTGAAGAACCGTCAAGAGTATATCATATTGCCACATTTAAAAAACGAGTATATAAAATATTTTCTAATTAATCAAACAAAGATATTGGGAGCAACAAAGGGTACATGCAACAAGGACATTGCAAAAATTGCAACAAAGGGTGAATTTTTGAGGTGTGCCTTAATTTGATTGTTTAGGGCCTCACCCTTAAGTAAACCTTTTTTTCTTTTGAGGAATGGTTAACTTTGTATTTATAGTATAAAGAATTACATCAAAAGGAAGCAAAAGACGGCATCCCACATATTGGGTGCTCAAACGATAAAATATACAATTGCAGGGGAAGCGAGGAGAGCATAGAAAAGAAGGTACAGAGAGAGACGGGGGCAGAGAGATTACACAAACAAAAGTCTGCTACCCAAACGTTGGGTGAGAGACGAGAACTAGAGAGGAAAAGAAAAAAGAGGAAAATTGGATTTCTACTTGAGAGGCTCTTTGTATGGTGCCACCTCGAGAGTGGAGAAGGACTTCGGTGCCTTCGCATAAGATGTAACGGGTCTTCATATTCTCCTATCCAAGATGTCTTTGTCGTGCTAGGGAGAGGGGGTGACAAGGCACAAGCACAGGGAAGATGAGGGGCGGATGGGAGAGGAGAAGAAAAGGAAGATGGTTTAGAGAGAGAGAAAGGGAGGGGAAGAGATATTGATGGAGAGAGATGAGAGGGGAAGAAGATGGGCTGAAGAGAAGAGAGTTTAGATAGAGAATTGTGCGAGAAAGAGAAAAGATTGAGGGCGATATGGAGCCATCTTGGAGTGCAACTTTAGTGCCTCCACATTGTTGTAACAGGTCTTTAGATTCTCCTTTCCAGGATGTCATTGTCGTGCTAGGTAGAGGGGGTGACGAGACAAACAAATTGGAGGTGAGTGGCAGAGGGGAGAGGGAAAGAAGCGAAGAGTGGTTAAGAGAGGAAAGAAGGGAGGGGGAGAGATATTTATAGAGAAGGAGAAGGTGGGAGGGGAAAAAGACGGCATGAGATAAAAAAGGGGGGCTAAGCGAGGGGGCAATAGACAGCAGGCAGAACGTGAAAGAACTTTTTTTTTTCCTTCCTTTTTTTGCCCTTTTTATTTTTCCTTTTTCTTTTTGGAGTAGAGGCAAGAGGAGGACGAGAGGAAAGGAGGAGAAGAGGGAGAGCGGAGAGAGAAAGAAGAATGAACAGTTTGTGACTTCAGGGGATTGGGGGTGCACCTGTGGCTTGACTTGCTCCTTCTTTGGCCAGTCTGTCTGCCTCGGTGTTAGCCTGTCGAAGTATATGCCTAAAAAGAACCTGAGAAAAGGAACTGCATAGAAAGTAAATGTGCTCAAATATAACCTGAAGATGCCACGGTGGCTGCGGTTGGTGGCTGACCCAGAATGGTGTTGCTTGAATCAGATTAGACTATGAGTCCTTGAAAGTGTGGCCCAAATTGAGGCACTCGCTTGAGGCCTTCAAGAAGGGCCAAAGACTCAGCAGTGGTGGAGTCCTTAGATCCAATGTAGTCCAAAAAGGATAGAAGAAAACCTGGAGCATCAGCCAAAGTACCGCCAATACCGGAGGATCCAGGATTTCCTAGGGATGAGCCATCTGTGTGGAGTTTGGGGAAACCAGGTGGGGGAGGGGGGTCCACACTGCTCTCAATCTCCTTAGAGGGGCACAAAAATTCAAAAGGGATTGCCAATTGGCAAGGAAGTGAGTGGGGATAGAAACAAATATTAGGATCATCTTGGCCCAGAGGGAGATTGAGGTTATAATGTAGTCAACGATAGAATGTTGACTCTTCGAAATGCCTCTAAAAGTTTTAAAAGGGTTCCTCCTTCAGCCTTTTAGCAGGACTGGACTGCTACTCTACAGCACTGTAGAAAATGTCTACCTCAAGCATCAAATTGGAGATCACCTGACCAGGGCCAATTTAAGCTTAACTTCGATGGTTCCTCTTTGCATAACCCCGGGCCTGCCAGTATCGGTACCATCCTCAGGGACCACTTGGGATCAACTATCGCTTCCATATCCAAAAACATCGGTCATACTGATTCCATGGAGGCCACTGCACTACTTGAGGGACTCAAGCTTATTCATCTTCACAGTATAGAGTCTGTTAGCATAGAGGGAGATTCCAAGAATGTTATTGCCCCCTGGGGTTCTAGCTCATATTTTTTATAAGATTAACCACCTTTGCAGGAATACACGCGTCTTATGGAGGCATACCTAGAGGGGGTCAAGCCAGGCAGCAGATGCTCTAGCTAAGGAAGTGGCGGCCCTTGATGGATTATAGGATCGATTTTTTGGGATCGGTTTCTTTTTGTTGGTTCCTTTGCTTCTATGTCATTGTATCCTTTAAAAGAAGGCTTTTCTATTCTACTCTCTCACCTCCCTTTTCAGAAGGGCTTTTTGTATCTTGAGTTATCCACCCTATGGATAGCCCATTCTCGATGTTTCACTGTACTCTTTTTTCTACTTATTAAAGGTTAACATTCTTAAAAAAAGTTCTGGAATTCCTCTCAAGCCAAATGCTCCACAGTAGGGTAGAAACAAACAAATACCAAAGTTTTCTTCCGTTTTTCTAAAAAGAAGGAAGAGAAGAGGTTGTTCAAAGAAGGGGGAGTGACCCACTGTAGGCCATGAAAATTTTTAAGGATTGAAGACCAGAGACTTGAGGAGACCTCGCAGTGAATGAAGAGTTGAATGATTGTCTCCTCTTCTTGGAGGCACAAGATACATCGGTTAGGACAGGAGAGTCCCCTTCTTTGAAGCTGGTCTAAGGTGAGGGTTTTGCCTTGAAGGAGTACCCAGATAAAAGCTTGGATTTTGTTAGGGATTGGCAGGAACAAAATTTTGTTAAATGTGAGGAGGAGTAGAAAGAGAAGACTGAGAAAGAACTTTGAGGGTTAGGGGACCAAATGATCGAATCTTGATGAAGAAGACGGCAGAAAATGGGGGCAAGCAATTGAAGGAGTGGATACAGGGAAGTGGATTCCTGATCAGAAAGGTTTCTCCTATAGATAGGCGTGCAAACCAAGGTGACCCTCTAAATTCTACGTAGTCGGCAACCGCAGCCGCCTGGTTGTTGGCTATAAGGAACGGAGAGGGGAAGGCCTGCCTAAGAGGTATATCTCCGATCCAAAGGTCAGAGTAGAATTTTTGTCTAGCCGTATCCTAACCTAAACCTGATGTACTTCGCACCAGAGGTATATCTCCGATCCAAAGGAAGGCAGTTTTATTAGAAATAATGCACTTCCAAGGCACCAGAGGTATATCTCTGATCCAAAAGAAGGCAGTTTTATTAGAAATAATGCACTTCCAGGCACCAGAGGATAATTGGGAGGAGGATCTAGGCAGCCAATCCTCGTTACTAAGACCATACTTGGCTTGGATGACCTGTTTCCACAAGAGCGGATGAGGAGAAGTGAATTTCCACCACCACTTGCCTAGTAGGGCAATATTCATGGTACGAAGTTTCTTGATGCCTAGCCCACCATATTTCTTAAGGGTGCAAACTTTATCCCAGGTAATGAGGTGAAAAAAATATGGCTATTCTCAGTACCCAACCACAAGAAATCACACATGAACTTCTCAAGGCGATTAATAACAGAGATGGGCTTGAGCGTCCATTTCTGGAAGAGGAAATTCTTAAAGCCCAACATGATTTAGCTGGAGACAAAGCACTTGGTCCAAAGGGTTTCCCCATAGCCCCGTTCAAATTATTTTGGGATACTTTCCGCTCAGACTTCTTGAGTTTCTTCGAAGAATTCTTCCACCGGGAAATTTTACATAAGGCTATTAACGCCACTTTTATAGCTCTGGTACCAAAGATGGAAGGGGCCGAGGAGCTTAAGGACTTTCGGCCAATAAGTCTGTTGAATTCCTCTTACAAAATCCTGGTCAAACTCTTGGCTTCAAGGCTGCAGCAGTTCCTCCCCTTCCATCATCTCCCAATACCAATCTGCTTTCATCAAAGACAAACTAATCCTAGATGGAGCGTTACTAGCTCACGAGTGTATTCGTTCCAAGCACTTGTCTAAAAAGCCGGGGCTCATTTTCAAAATTGCTTGGGAGAAAGCCTACGACCATGTAGTCTGGGCCCTCCTAGATGAGACCATGAGAAGAATGGGGG